TTGAGCCCAGGAGTTTGAGGTTGCTGTGAGCTAGGATGACGCCATGGCACTCTAGCCCGGGCAACACAGTGAGACTCTGTCTCAAAAAAAAAAAACTGGCTCATGGAAGAGGTTCAGTAACATGGGTTGAAGGAATGAATGGATGGCTAGGTAATAAAGAGTAGCCAGGCTCAGATTTTTAAAAAATAGCAACATGGAATAATCTGAAATCAATAAACAAATCAAAGAACAGGTATCTACTACTATACACCTATTATTTATAGTTACATTTTAAGTATTAATACTATGGGAAATACAAAGACTCAAATTATTTAATATTATCATGAAGATTCAACCAACATCTTATGTTCATTTGTTGCTTCCCTAAATTTTGCCAAAAACACATTTCGACAACCTTGAAAAAGTAACACTGGTCCAAAAAGAAATTATGCAAAGACCAAGAAAAAAAGAGAAAGGACCAGAGAATAAAATTTTACGAATCCTATCCATTCATTTTAAGGCTTTCAGGGGAGGCTGTTTTCAAGAAATTCAGAATGCATGGCAGAGAACATGGGAAAGAAGCAGGAAAAAAATAAAGGCAACCAGAGGCAAAGATAAAGCAGAATTAAGGAAAAGTCTGTGAGCCAAAGACAGTTTTTGAGACCAACTGATATTTTAAAACTCTTTAATATCAAACAGAATGTTAGCATGCTCTGCAGGATCTACCCACAAGAGGTGATAGAAATATTAAAGCTTTCTTTGGCTGGGTGCAGTGGCTCACGCCCCGTAACTGTAGCACTCTGGGAGGCCAATGCAGGAAGATCGCTTGAGGTCAGGAGTTCGAGACCAGTCTGAGCAAGAGCAAGACCCCTATCTCCACTAAAAATTGAAAAAATTAGCAAGGCATGGTGGCATGTGCCTATATCCCAGCTCCCAGCTACCTGGGAGGCTGAGGCAGGAGAATCGCTTGGGCCCAGGAGTTGGAGGTTGCAGTGAGCTACAATGATGACACTACTACACTCTAGCTAGAACAGAGCAAGACCTCTATTTAAAAAAAAAAAAAAGATTTCTCATCCAGAATATACTAGTACTTGCATGATTCAAACATTAGCTATAAGACTGCATGTTCCTTACTCTCATTCACTGTTTAACTAGAAAAACTAACGTCAGCCTAAACAAATAAATAAATAACTGTTAGTATCATGCACCATCACCAATCTTCTAATGCATTTTTAGTAAAAAACAAAACCTAACATTTTCTATGTAAAACACATAACTCCACATCTCCACGTTACTTTTATTACCAGCCCAAGGTATTTCAATGTATAGTAACAGTGTGTGTTTATGATATACTCAGTGTGCTTTTAATATAAGCCTCTCGTTTGTGCTCCAAAATGCACTTACAAACTTTATTTCAACACCAAATGTAAATTTATTTCATGATATTCTGTGTGTTCAAAGGAACAGTCCACGTTAGTAGAGGTAGAGTATCCCTTATCCGAAATGCTTAGGACAAGAAGTGCTTATGATTTCAGATTTTTGGACTTGGAATGTCAACCTCTATAGTATTATAAAATCTAATTGACCCTGGGGGGGGTATCTTGTTCATCACCTGCCTTGGGGACTTTTTAAGGGGCTATTTTTTAATAGTTAGATATATTACTAAAAAGGCAGTGTTTGCTGACCTGAATCAGTATCCATTGGGATGAGGCCTTCGGGGGATGAACTCTGAATGACTGGAGACACCACAGCAGAAAGTCTGTAGGACATCAAAAGGAGCTTCTCCACCACAGGTCTCCACTCACTCACCAACTGCAGGCTGCTGCAACAAGGATATTGGGGGAATTTATACTAAAAGCAGAATCACATTTTAAAAACGGAAATTAATAGATAAAAGGACTTGAAAGAATTTTTTTCAGAGTTGTACATTATATATAAAATACATGGGACATAAAAATATGCACATATTGCTGATTTCTTAATCTAATCTTTTTCCTTCTTAAAAAATGTTGATAGATTTAGGAGATACAAGTTAAATTCTGTTACATATATACATGGCTTAGTGGTGAAGTCTGGGCTTCACCCAGATAGTGTACACTGTACCCTACAGTGTACTGTACCCTACATCCCTCACCCTTTCCCACCCTCCCCGGTTTTGAGTCTCCAACTGTGTAGCCATAATTTAGCTCCCACTTATAAGTGAGAATATGCAGCATTTATTTTTCTGTTCCTGAGTTACTAAACTTAGGATAATGGCCTCCAGTTCCATCTAAGCTGCTGCAAAAAGCATGACTTCATTTTTTCTTATTGCTGAGTAGTACTCCATGGTATGCATACACAACATATTTTCTTTATCCACTCATCAGTTGATGGGCACTTAGGCTAATTCCGTATCTTTGAGATTGTGAATTGTGCTATGATAAACATACAAGTGTAGCTATATTTTTGATGTAATGATTTATTTTCCTCTAGGTAAATACCCAGTACTCGGTTTGCAGGATCGAATGGTACTACTTTTACTTCTTCAAGAAATCGCCACACTTATCTACATAGAAGGTGTAGTAACTTACATTCCCACCAACAGCATATAAGTGTTCCCTTTTTACTGCATCCACACCAACATCTACTGCTTTTAGACTTTTTAATAATGGTCATTCTAATTGGAGTAAGATGGTATCTCATTGTACTTTCAATTTACATTTCTCTGATGGTTAGTGATGTTAAGCATTTTTTCATGTTTATTTCCCATTTGTGTATCTTCTTTTGGAAAATGCCTATTTGTGTAATTTGCCCACTTTTTAATGGGGTTGGGTTTTCTTGCTGAGTTTTCTGAGTTCCCTGCAGATTCTAGATACTAGTCCTTTGTCAGACACATAGTTCACAAATATTTTCTCCCACTCTGTAGGTTGTCTATTTATTTACTCTTTTGGTTATTTCTTCTGCTGTGCAGAAGTGTTTTAGTTTAATTAAGTCCCATTTATCTATTTTTGTTCTTATTGCATTTGCTTTTAAGGTCTTAGTCATAAATTCTTTGCATAGGCCAATGTCCAGAAGAGCTAGGTTTTCTTCCAGGACTTTTATGCTTTCAGGTCTTACACTTAAATCTTTAATCCATCTTGAGTAAATTTGTGTATATGGTGAGAGACAGGGATCCAGTTTCATTCTTCTGCACATGGCTACCCAATTTTCCCAGCACTATTTATTGAACAGTGTGTCCTTTTCCCAGCGTATGACTTTGTCTGCTCTGTCGAAGAACAATTGGTTGTACATATCTGGTTTTATTTCTGGGTTCTCCATTGGTCTATGTGTCTACTTTTATGTCAGTACTATACTGTTTTGGTTACTACAGTCTTGTAGTACAATTTGAAGTCAGGTAATGTGATGCCTCCAGTTTTGTTTCTTGCTTAGGATTGCTTTGGCTATTCAGGCTCCTTTTTGGTTCCATGTGAATTTTAGAAGTGTTTTTTCTAATTCTGTGAAAAATGACATTGATATTTTGGTACGAATTGCAATGCATCTGTAGATTGCTTTGGGCAGTATGGTCATTTTAACAATATTGATTCTCCTGATCCATGAGCATGGGATGTTTTTCCATTTGTGTAATGTACAATTTTTCATCAATAATTTGCAGTTCTCCCTATAGAGATCTTTCACCTCTTTGGTTAAATTTATTCCTAGGTATTTTATTTTTTGTGCAGCTATTATAAATGGGATTGAGGTGCTTTTGTTTTTTTTGAGACAGGGTCTCACTCTGTCACCGGGGCTGCAGTGCAGTGGCATCATCACAGCTCAATGCAACCTCAAATTCCTGGGCTCAAGCGATACTCCTACTTCAGCCTCCTGAGTAGCTGGGACTACAGGTGTGCGCTAACATATGCAGCTAATTTTTTTATTTTTTATAAAGACAGGATCTCACCGTGTAGTTCAGGGCGGTCTTGAACTCATCCTCCCACTTCAGCCTCCCAAAGTGCTAGGATTACAGATGTGAGCCACTGTGCCTAGCCTGGTTTTGAGTTCTTGATTTGAGTCTGAGCTTGGCCATTTAAATTGGTGTATAGAATTAATCTAATTTTCAATTCTCTTCAAGGCAACAGACTACATTCCTTTCCCAGGATACATTCCAGTAAGAGGTTAAAGCTCAGAAATGAGTATATTTCTGAGACAAGACACAGCTGTGGACATACTTACTTTAGAGATAACTTCTGCAAAGCTCCTGTTATACAGTGGACTCGCCCATACATTGGAAATGATGCTGCTGCTTGAAGCAGAGAATTTTCAGCCTGAGATACTTCTTCCTCAAGATTTTCCATCAAGCATTTGATAACTAGAGAAAGCAAACACAAAACCAAAGTAATGCCAATTTTAAAACATTTTTAAGTGTGTGAACAGCACAATAGTTTCCATGAAAACACCCATCTCAAATGAACTTTACACTAGAGATTTTCAATCAAAAAGAGATCTTTCTTAGACATTTGCATTAGAAGATATATACGGGTTGAGTATCCGTTATCTAAAATGCTTGGGACCAGATGTATTTCAGATTTCATCAGATTTTGGAATATTTGCATCATACTTACCAGTTAAGCATCTCAAATACGAAAATCCAAAATCCAAAATGCTCCGATGGAAATTTCCTTTGAGTATCATGCTGGTGCTCAAAAAGTTTCAGACTTTGGAGCATTTTCGATTTTAGATGCTCTCTATATGATAATGTTTACATTAGCATTATTTATTTAGGAAAAAAAGTATATCAACAGGAGAATGAATTAATAAATTGTGGTAAATTTATATAATACAGGCAGT